GATTTGCAAAGTTGCCCGTGTGCCAAATCTAAAGTCATCAGCTTTGCGGAGAGAAGTCTTAATACAACATCTTTCTACAAGTTCAAATGCAGGCTCATTCACACAAGCTGTAAATGTTCTGGTATGTTGAGAAACTGTAGACATTATAAAGATCTGTAGGGTTTAACTGAAGCCAAAATCACTGATACTCATAACCTGTAGAGAGACTTTATAATAGCATGAAATAAACAGAAATTTTTATTTGTTCTAGATTCTGCCATTATTCCTTAGAAACTTGTCTAATATTTGTCCAGCATCATTCCTGTTCAGTTGCTAAAGTCACTTTCAGCTCTTTGCAACCCCATGGACTACAGCATATCAGGCTTCTCTGTCCTTCACTATCTTCTGGAGTTTGCTCAAACTCATGTCCATTGAGTCAGTGATGCCATCCAGCCATCTCATCCTCTGTCATCCCCTTCTCTTTCTGTCTTCAATCTTTCCCAGCAGGGATCTTTTCCAATGAGTTGACTTCCCATCATATGGCCAAAGTGTTGGAGCTTCAGCTTCAGCATCAGTCCTTCCAATGAATATCCAGGGTTGATCTCCTTTAGGATGGACTGGTTGGATCTCCTTGCAGTCCAAGGGACTCTCAAGAGTCTTCTCCAACACCACAGTTCGAAAGCATCAATTCTTTGGCACTCAGCCTTCTTTATGGTCCAATTCTCACATCCATACTTGACTACTGGAAAAACCATAGCTTTAACTATATGGACCTTTGTCGACAAAGTGATGTCTCTGCTTTTTAATACGCTGTCTAGGTTTGTCATAACTTTCCTTCCCAGGAGCAAGCGTCTTTTAATTTCGTAGCTACAGTCACCATCTGCAGTGATTTTGGAGCCCGAGAAAATAAAATCTGTTGCTGTTTCCAGACTCAATATATATGAGAAAAGTGTGTCAATTAAATACTTAGATGGAAGTTGCTATAATATGCAATCTGGTGAATGATGGGAGAGTAGTTTTGCTCTAGGATGACAGGCAGCTTCGAATAATGTATGGAGAGAGAATTCTCTGCTTGTTCAGGCCCGTGTCCCAACCCCAGGAAACTGATTTAGTATGTCGGAGGAAGGCTAGACATACACATATTGAAAAACTTCCCCAGATGATTTTAATGTATCTTCAAATTAAGAGGCTTTGATTTAAACATTTAGTTTCCTTTTATGATAATTAGGAGTGGGTGTCCAGGAGTTCCTTTCTAACAGACTCTTCCTGGGAAGCAGAGGAGATCGATACCCATGAACTGATCTGGAAAGAAATCTAGTGTCTCTTCCTTCAAGAGCAATTCTTCATTCCAGTCTGGGGATGGAAGATGGTTGAACCATGTGAAATTTCAAGTGTCTTTCATGCTCCTCTGTGTCTGAGGAAATGGTTTGTCCCCTTAAGGAGAGATAAAATATGGGTACATGGGGATATAATATGAGACTTGTTCTCAAACTGGATTTTCAAAAATGCAAATTTGAATACTTTGAGCAGCAAGGAAATAGGAACAAAGATGCAGAAAATGAAGTGTAGAGAAATTAATATTTTGTTCATTTTAAGTAAGGTTAGGATTCATGAAGGGTAGCAAAGGAATTGAGCCTTAAATTTTAAACTAAGGTGTTTGAACTTTACTCACTGTGAAGCCAGCAATGTTTCTGATCTGAGAGATGACGTGGTTCATTCTGTGAGATCTAAAGTTTAAATGTGGCAGCTACACAGGAGAGGAATCACGATGCGAAGAGACTGAGCTAATACTTACCTTTCTATATTGAGCTTTTTCTAATACTCGGCTTTGTGATCGGTGCCAGTTTATGTTCAGCCTTTCCCTAAACCTCATAATAACCTTGTAAACTAGGTGTTCTCATCCCCATTTTCAGTAAGAACAACATGGAGGTTTAAAGAGTTTAAGTTCTCTGCCCCACTCTATAATTTAAAGTGATGGAACAGGAATTAAAACTCAATTCTATCTGACTTCACCATCCATAAGGATGACTGTGTTGAAATTCAGGTAAGGAGATAAGCCACGGTCATCCAGGACAGAGGTGATGAATTAGAAAACAATTTCAAGAGAAAAAACTTCCTAGTAAAGAATAACTTAGAGTTCTTTTCTACAATAAATTAACTTATATAAATTATATCTGATCAAAAACCAAAGGAATTTTTTAAAATTCCAATTTACACAGGAATCAACATTACAAGTAACATGTGACTTAACAAAAATCTATTACACAAGTATACTCAAGGCTTTTCTGGTCTTCCTGGACCATCAGTTTCGTCTAATCCTTTAGTTCCTATTTTCTTGAGCTCTTGAACTGCAAGATTCATGCTTAGAGAAAATCCCACTGTACTAGACTGTTAATTCAGTAATGTGATTAATTTGAATTCAGCGAGGGTTTGATGAAAGTACTAAGGTAGAAATGCCATCATCTTTGTATTGACCTAAGGCCTCATTTTGAAATGAATGGATATTCAAGGTGTTCATTAGAGAGATGTTATGTTATAGCAGAAAAAGACTCTGAACTCAGGTAGCTTTGGTTTCTTCATCTGTAAAAAAGGGCTTAATCATATCTACCTCACAGGATATTTATTTCAAAGTGAAAAATGAGAAAACATACAGTAGAGATGTACCTGGCATTTGTCAGTATTCGGTCAGAGATAGTTTTATAGGGTTGGTCTATGCAGTCAAAGCTGAGCAGATGATTGTACCAATTACCTAATAAGTATGGATCCAGCAAAAGAACATTCAAGTTGGAGGAATCTCCATATGGCTTGTCTTGGTCAGCTGGACTCATAATTGTTCTAGATCAGAAACATGTTGTCAGCTTTCTCCCATACGCACTCACATGCAACTCACATGCATAGGTATACATCCTCATGGACACACATATACTTAGAGATTCACACAGACACACAGGGCACATATACTCACATACATATACATTCACCCACATGCACACTCACACATACACACCCATGCACCCACAGAGAGAACTAGAAAGTGTACCATGAATTAACTTTCCTTCCTTGCATCTGCCATCTCTATGTACCTACTAATAATATCTTAAGCATATTCACTGAAGAGTCTCAAATATTATTACATGTACAGTATGTACCAGTTCTAGAAAAATACAACTTGACAACTCTTGGCTCACGTGGGATGATAATTCTGAGACTTTCTACTGGGGCACAGAAAGTGTGAGGTTGTTCAGTTTCTGACAGGTCTGGAGTGTAGCCCTGATGTGGGTCTGGCAGACTAGAAAGCCTCTCAGCATTTCTAGAGCTCTTCGAATGGTTACCCAGGAAAAGAATTTCATCTGAAGAGACAATGTGAGTAAACTGAAGCCTTTAAAAACCTAACCTAAACATCAGCACAATCATTCCTAACTACTCTCTCGTCAATTAGTTGATTCAGTTTGCGCAACATGAGACTTGGCTATAAGGAATGAATATTTGATACCTTGCGTCTGTTGAGCGTCTGAACCCTGTTTCATAAGTTTTAATTCTCGGTGTTGACTTTCCCAGCCTCCTTTATGTCAGGGCCTCGGGTATGTGACTCGTCTTCCCCCATACTCACTCCTATGAGGCAGTCACTCAAAGTCAGAGGTACCAGGGAGACAAGGGTGCAAGCTGGTTTTCCATCTGCACAGAGACCCTCTGCGGCCAAGGGCAGCAAGCCAGGCCCAGGACTGCGGCACCCAGGACTGGTGTCAGCAGATGCGGTTTCTCATCAAGCCTGTGGGCAGCTTCTTAAAACGTGCTCTGGCACGTTTCTTAAAATGCTGCCTTACCTTGATCCCCAACCTCTCTGATGCTTCCCTGACCTGCGTGACATCCTTTCAATGCATTTGCTTCTGCTCTGTCAGTCTCATGCTTGTGACACAGTAGTAGTGAAAATGTTAGTCACTCAGTCGTGTCTGCCTGTTTTGTGACCCCACGGACTGTAGCCCGTCAGGCTCCTCTGTCCATGGGACTCTCCGGGCAAGAGTACTGGAGTGGGTTGCCATGCCCTCCTCCAGGGGATCTTCCCAACCCAGGGATCAAACCTGGGTCTCACACATTGCAGGCAAATTCTTTACCATCTGAGCCACCAGCAGAATCCTACTTAATTCCCTGTGCTGGACACCAAGGGGACTCCAGAGGTGAGTAAGACCCTCCTGGTGACTTTAAGAACTTCACACTCCAGTAGGTGGGATTCAGGCGGTCTCCCCGCCGCCCACCCCCCCTCCCCCCAGTGGAGAGGGAAGTGAATGTGAATCCCGCTCCACGAGGCCGCTCAAGCCTCTAGAGACCATCCTTTGTGTGGGTTCTGGACCAGCTAGTGGATTCCCAGGTCACCTTTCTGGGGCTTGCAGGGTTGGTTCCTCACCCGGAAAAGACATTGCATGGAAGCTGCCCCTGACACGTGTGAGTGGCCAGGAGGGCGGGCAGGTGAGAATCTTGTCTGAGTATTTCAGCAGAAGAAAGTCCGCGGCTCAGTTACCAGGGAGGAGCTTCCCCCAGCCCAGGCCTGCGCGGAGTCTACACAGATGGCGCTCCCAGTAGGATTACACAGCCCAGGGAACTTGTGAACCATATGGAGGAGAAAGTTCCCCGGCTGAGAGTTCCGCTCCATTATTTCCCGTTGGAAGTAGCGCCTTGTGATCAAGCTTGAATTATCAGAGGCGAGACCACGGGTATCAAAATGTGGTATCTGCCAGAGCTTGGAATCGCTTACTCTCCGCCTGATGCTCATAAAGAACATGTGGCTGCAGCGTACTCTGAGTTATGCCCCCTGGGATCCCTGACAACATTTCCAAGGGCACGGCCGTGTAACTCCGCAGAGAGCCCTGCCCCGCAGCAGGACTCCCGTGCTAAGGCCGGTCCACACCACCGTGGGACGGCAGCACAGGACACGCCTCGGCCCCCGAGCCCTGTTTCCTCCTGAGCCTTGGTGAAGGCGTGTTAAACTGGAGACAGGAACGCGGCGTCCTTGCTTTGCCAGCGTCATGTCCTGGCAGGCGCTGCCATCCGCGAAACCTCCCAAGACCATCAGCTTGAGGCCCCTGCGTGCCTCTGGATGTCTTTATAAATCGGGAAAGGACGAGACCAAAGAGAAAGTGGGGCCGGTGGTTGGAGGGAGAGCCTCGTTGAGCCCGGGGGTGCTGACTGACCTGGGCAGCTTCGTGTCAAGGTCCCAGCCCAGGAGACAGATTCAGGACCCCTCCAAACAGCCGTCAAACGCGTGTCTAAGAAAATAGAAGCACTGTATGTAGAGGTCACCCCTTGGGGTGATGCGTTTTGTCTGCATAAACATGGGAACTGGGAATCAAGAGCCGCGGGGGCCAGAACGAGCGGCAGCAGCAAAGACACCAACTGCTACGGCTGAACACCAAACAAAAACTGACAACCCGCTGCCCTGCGCACGAGAGGCTTCCGGAACCCTGGCGACCGGCCGTGCGGCTCATCTCCGCCCTGCCGCCCGGAGGAGAGGACTCCGCGATGCAGAGGTCAAGAGAAAGGGCCCTGGCTCAGCGCCTCGGGCGCTGTTCCGGGATGGCTGCACCTGACTCCGCCCCCGGCCGCGCCCACTGGGGGCTGGTCCTCTGAGCTGCCAGTGCGCAGGCGTGGGCTCCTCGGGGTGGGGGTGGGGAGGGGAGCCCCATCTCAGCACTGTGGGAAAGAGAACCATCCAGGGCAAGGCCGCTGGGGTGATGGGGAAAGGGGCGGAGTCTCGTCTGAACAGACAGGATGCGTCTGGTTTCTGGGTTCTGGTTAGGAGTATGTTCTCAGATTACAAACACAAACAGAGAAAAATGAAAAGGTATTTGGAGTCAAGAGAGAAGACAGGGTAACAGAGAGGACCTGGGTGGAACCCTCTTTGGCTTTAGGAAGCCATGTCCATGAAACAGAACTGGGTGTCCCAGGAAGAAAGCAGGGGTGGGGGGCAGGGGTGCGTACGAGAGGACTGTCAGTCACTCCCTGTCAACACACGCTGGTTCATGTGCTGTTACCAGTAAGTCAGGCTCTTATGAAAGTCCCAGCCTGCCTCTTCTGCATCAAGGACGACTGAAGGGCTTTGAACTTTGGGCTTTGACTGCTAGGGCAGAATGTTCCAGGATAATTGGAACACACCTGAGGCCAACCACGTGGCAGTGGCAGGAAGGATGAAGGGGAGATGCAGGAAGGATGAAGGGGAAATGCAGGAAGGTAGACTCGGGACACGCTGGGACCTGGGACTCTGCACTTGGATACATGTCCTCCAGCAAGAAGATACTAATAAACTCTAAGGCACTAAAAAGAACTGCTTGTGCAGTTGGGGCAAATTATGGACAAAGTATAAAAAGACAAAACAAAACACCCCAGTTGCCACTTGTGAAGACCCTGGAGCGATAGCAGGGTCCTCTGCATGCCCCTTGCGCTCCACACCAGCAAAGGGTGGGCAGGCCACCTAAGCTTCCCCTCCAACCAGACCCCTGGACACACCCCTACCCTTACCTCATATAAGGAACAAGGTCACCTCTCGGGAGTGAGCAAGGGGACTATTAACTTGTACTTGCTCCCTCCTACTGCAGCAGCGGCTGGCGTAAAGCCTTGCCTGGATTTCTTGGCTGGCCTCTGATATATTTCTGTTCATTGGGGAAGGCCAAGAAGCCTAATGGTTATCAGAATCAAGGATGCTGGGATCAGTTTGGGGTTAGATTTGTAGTTTACTCAGCAAAGCAATTATTCTTTTATATAGCATCTGACACTTGGGGTCTATAGGACATTGGCAGCCACGGATGCATTGGCTGTTTCTTAGATTCTTTCTCAAAACCACACCACCAGATTATAGAGCTAGAAAGCAGAAGTACTTGATTAAGGCATAAAAATATTTTAAGCAGTTTCTGAAGGTATTAGACAAAATAAGCAATGTTAGTAGGAAGTCTTCAGGCAGATTGAATCCCATCCAGAAATGCAGCTTTAAATATTGGTTGCAAATACCCTTGCTGAGTCTAGACCAGACTAGATGATATATTCTTACCCAGTTATAAAGCAATTACCCCCACGGCTTTGGGCCAAAAGATTGGATATTTGAGACTCTGAAATGATCACCCTGTAAATGACCATAATGTGGGTAATTAAAAATAGATTATTGGATTAAGATTTGAGTTTCTCTTGGAGACCTTGCTTTTCCTTGACGTATGTGGTTTTATACTTTGTTTGCCCTCTTCTTTTCTCTCTATCTGAGCAATCATAATTGAATGCATCTTTAAACTACAAATTGTAATTTTGCTGTCAGCACTGGTACTCTAATCTCAGATGTTCATTAAAAAAATTTCTCTGTGCTAACTGTGAATTAAGCTAAGAAGAGGAACTGAGGCAAGTGGATGGACTGTTAACAAAATCAAGAGCAAGATGACAACTCTGCATCGGGGTGACTACAATGAGCTTTGATTGCTATAAATTTCACATTTTTATATGTAGAATTTTGTAAAAAAAAAAAGAGATAAACATAAATATATTAATGCTGTATTAGCTGTTTTCTAGAGAAGAGATGGACTAAAAGGTAGTAGTTAGGTACATGTGTGATTGGGCCAAAGGCAATTGTGAGTTTAGTCATTTCTCAATGAATCTGATTAATGTAAATAATTTATCTGCATTCTTCCACCCAAACACCCCATTTATTCCTTAAAGTGTAGGACATCTTCTACTTGAGTAGATCTTCCTTCATACACTTCAATTCACGGGAGACTCTGCATAGAGCATGCAGCAAGGGGCAGTGGGCAACCAGGAGCCTGGCGTGGAGGTCCAGCCTCCGTCTGTCTCCGTCATTGCACGTGCGTGGATGTGCACCATCTCTCTGGGCTTTCGACCCTTTGTTCTGAGAAAATGCGGAGATTAGACCAAACAAAAATGTACAATTCATCTGACTCTACTGTCCCATGTGAAGAAGAAGGCTGTAATAGAGAAAAATTTGCTCTTGAAGAAAAGGGAATATATCCTTCGCCTGTGTTGACTGGGAAATAAGCTGCATAATTTCTCAACAAGTTAGACTGACATTTACTATGATCCAGTGATCCCCTCCTTCATTTCTTTACCTGGATATTTACCCAAAAGAAATGAAAATTTGTGTTTTCACAAAAACTGTGTTCAAATTTTTATAGCTGCTTTACTCATAATTACCCCAAACTAGAAACAATCCAAATGTCTTATTTTTCAAAAGTCTTTCAATCAGAGTGGGTTGAACAAAGTATGATGCAGCCATACAAGGGAATACTACTCAGTAGAAAAAATAGGAAACTATAACACATATAGCGTGGGTGAATGGAGAAAATATTTGCAAATCATATATCTGATAAAGGGTTAATATCTGAAATATATAATGAATCTCTACAACACAATAGCAAAAAAACCCCAAGTAATCTAATAAAAAATCAGCAAAGGATTTGAATAGCTATTTCTCTAAAAGAGACATACAAATTGCCAACAATTTGATGAAAATCAAAACCACAATGAAATATCATCTCACACTTGTTAGAATGGCTATTATTTTTCAAAAAAAGATAAGTACTGGCAAGAATGTGGAAAAATTAGAGTCTTTGTCCACTGTTGGTGAACGTGTAAAATGGTGTAGGCACTATGGAAACTAGTGTGGAGGTTTCTCAAAAAAATTTTAAAATAAAGCTACCATGTGATCTAGAAATCTCATAATGGGGTGTTTACCCTAAAGAATTGAAATAGGATCTCAAAGAGAGGTCTTCTTTCCCATCTACATGACAGCAATAGTCACAGTAGCCGAGATGTGGAAATAACCTAAGTGTCCGTTGACAGAGGAATGGAGAGAGGCACCGTGATGTATACAAAACAAAATATTTTTCAGCCTTAAAAAGAAGGCTATCCTACCATATGCAACAAAGTGGATAAACCTAGAGGATATAAGCAGTTACAGAAAATGAATAGTGTGTGATTCCACTTACTGTTGCTGTTTAGTTGCCAAGTTGTGTCTGATTCTTTGTGATCCCATGGATTGTAGCCTTCCAGGCTCCTCTATCCACGGGATTGTCCAGGCAAGAATACTGGAGTGGATTGCCGTGCCCTCCTGCAAGGGATCTTCCCAACCCAGACTGAACCCAGGTCTCCCACATTGCAGGCAGATTCTTTACCATCTGAACCACCAGGGAAGCCAGACTCTGTAGAGTACACCTCAAATAAAATGAATCAGCAGAAGAGATCTAAGGTTTGCCGCTAGGCTACCCTTTCTCTTAAGTTTAAATTCTAAAATTTTTAAAGGCTTAAAGGAAAAGCTACCACAAATGTGTAGGCAGCGTTCCCTTCTCCCTTGAGGCGCACGAGTGAGGCACGGAAGAGCAGCGTCCCAGCGCCTGCCTTGACATGTCATCCAGTGGCTGTGGGCTGACCAGGCTCGAGCGCTGTCCTCAAATGCACGCCTGCCTTCTGGGTTCCTGAAGGTTCCTTTCTGCTCTGAGGAAGCTGTTCTCATTTGTATTGACTTCCAACAAGTTCCTCCAGGCAAGGCCCTGGAGGCACGCACCTGCCGTCTGCTGCCAGAGGCGCGGGTGTGGTTTGGGGCCGTTACCTCCCAAGTTCTTTTCTGCTCTAAGATGTAAGGGCCCATAGACTTTCTGACTTTCAATGCTTCTGGCTCTCAAGCCAAACACTGTGCAGCCCGAGGGCTTCTCGTGTTAGCAGCCAAGAGATAGGAGGCCCTTACACACAAAACAGACTATACAAATAAGGAGTTCCTATCAAATGCTCTAAATGCTGGGCTGGGCTGAGAGCTCTATTAAAAACATCGGTAAATTCCTCTGCTTCTAAAGTTAGGTCTTATAGTCTTTCTGGGCATTAGACCACAGTGTGGTAGTATTTTAAAACCCATTAAACTGATGGAAAATATTTTACAGATGGTAGCTGCAGGGTATTAGCAAGGTCCTTGTATATCATCCAATGCTGGTGTAATGTCTCAGTGATTGAAAAGAGATTCGTTAGAGACTTAATATTAATCCAGGATTTCCCTGGTGTCTCAGATGGTAAAGAATCCACCTGCAATGCAGGAGACACAAGAGACACAGGTTCTATCCCTGGGTGGGGAAGATCCCCTTGAGAAGGAAATGGCAACTCACTCCAGTATTTTTGCCTGGAGAATCCCATGGACAGAGGAGCCTAGCAGGCTACAGTCCATGGGCTTGCAAAGTCAGACTTGACTGAGTGACTATACTTTCACTTCCTCTTCAGTATTAATACAAAGACTATATTATGT